ATTTATTCATGAGAGACAGAGAGAGAGAGGCAGAGGGAGAAGCAGGCTCCCAAGGAGCAGAGAGCCCGATGCGGGACTCGATCCCAGGGCCCTGGGATCATGACCCGAGCCGAAGGCAGACGCTCAACCATCTGAGCCACCCAGGCGCCCCTGGCTATCCTACTCTTGAGGAAGAATCACCATACCTGGTGAGTGTCTTTGGGTTTTGGAGCTTCTAATTGGGAATGCTTCTAAGACCCATTTACTGAGTTATCCATAATGTGTTCAATTTTTGCGCAGAGCAAGACAGGTTCTGCAACAGTCTGGATTATTTTCAAACTTTAGCATGCATCTAAATCACCTAAGTAAACTCTATTGTGCATTAAACACAGATCTCACAGATCTGAATCTCAGAGATTCAGATTCAGTAGGTCTAAGGTGGAACCTGAGAACTGTCATTTCTAAGGAGTTCCCAGGTGGTGCTAATGCTGCTGGTTCAGGGACCCCATCCTGAGAAATACGGATCTAGCAGAATCAGTGGGGTGTGAAAGATCTCTGGAAGATAGGGATGCTGTGTGTAGCCTCTGGCATGCCTCTGCAGGTGACCCATAGTGCAGAGACTTAGAGTTTTGGAGAATAGCAAAATATTCTTCTGAAAATACTTATTCTCCTTTTGAATAAGTATGCTCCTGAGCCATAGTAGAAACTCATGGAACTCCAAGTTAACCACATAACCTGAGCAGCCCATCATAAACTAACCCACAAACCCATAAAGTTTGGTATTGACAGCTACTTGCCATCATGAAATGGAAGCAGTCTATACAAAATCAGGTTCGAGCAGGTGCTGAAGACACACTAGGCTGCATGAACAAGTGTCCACTCTTGTTGCACAATTACCACCTCTTAACCCCTACCTCTAGCTTCATGGCTGCCCGAGGAAGCATATGGATCCCATATGTTGTGCACTATATACTGACGCCCCCCAGGAGGTAGCAGGCTGCAGCATTACCGGGGCACTCAGAAGGCATGAGTAGGAGAAACGTTCTCAGTGGGTAGATAATCAAGCAGTGCCATCAGGCTGTTATTCTGCCAAGAGGGAGAGAGAGAGGTCTCAACTGACAGGCATTGGCTAATGGTTTGGCTATATAGCAAGAGACTTCAAAGAAAATTA